ATCGCATCGTCCGTATTGTCTGCCATCGCATGTCTTGTAAGCGGCGGCACAAGTGATGGCGTCTCTGGAGAGCGAGCAATAGGTTCGGCCGCACATGTGGTCAGTCGTGTCCAGTGGTGTCCACTCTCTCGATGTCTTCACAATTCAATTCAATTAACAATTATTTCAAAACTTTTCAAAATGTTTTCAAAACGAGTCATCAGTTTTGCGCACAATTACTGCGCATTCAATCACTTGCAGTCAATTCAGTCGTAAATACAGTCAAACCTCCACTTAATTACTCATTTAAATGTCATTTTTATTATTGAATACAGTATTGACTGAACAGATGGCCAACTGATCACCGGATCTATACTAATGCCAAACAATACTTCACTCCTATAAACCTATGACCGCAAGTGTGTCATCGCCTCAACACTAATACCTCTACTTATAGTGCAATCAAATGGCGTCAATAGGACTGCACTCATAATTAAAACCAACTAATGGTCACAACTGTCCACTCATTACATTTATATTTGTATCAATGATCACAATATAAATAACAAAGCATTTAATAAATATTTAATTCAAATAAGTCTTTATTCAAGCATTCAATTAATACAAAGAATATCAAACTTATGCGGCTTTCGTCTCCTCTTTGATGCGATCCTTTTTCATCGGACCCTAAATGAGATACAAATGCGTTAATACAATGCATACAAACTATCATCGAATCAGAAATGATGGTCAAAGTGTCAGAAGGAAGGCAGCAAATGGTCTCTTCATTAGTAATTGGATTAAAACTAATTGCAATCATCACTAAAAAAATGCGTTAATACAATGCATACAAACTATCATCGAATCAGAAATGATGGTCAAAGTGTCAGAAGGAAGGCAGCAAATGGTCTCTTCATTAGTAATTGGATTAAAACTAATTGCAATCATCACTAAAACAAAGCCATGGCTGGGCTTATAGACGGGGAAGAGTGGGATGTGTTGCAGACATACCATGAAAGCCTTCTTCTCTGCGGGTGTCTGGAACTTGCCATGGCCCATCTTCGACGACGTGTCAATGAACTTCAGGTTCACCTTCTCAGTCGCCGCGCGTTTCGTCTGAACCAACAGTGACTGCAAACACACATACAATACATTAGTTGACAATTAAATCACTAATTAGTTAATAGCATTTCAATGACCACAGACTCAGTCCTATCATTAAAAATCATTTTTATAATCAGCTTTAAAAAGCTCTTTGTTATTCATCATCGCCTTTAATGTCATTGAAATGCACTTCCGATCCAATAATACACACCTTTCTCAGAGTTAAGACACGCTTTTTGGGGCCCGCAGTGCAGCCCTTAATCATCAGATAATCGCAATTCACTTCTCCGTAATGAGGAAATCCGCCCTAAAATCAATTCAATACACAGTTTACTATCGATTTAATACACAAATAACTAAAACATTGTTTTCTATAAGACTCAGTCCGCCCTAAGTTATCGTCAAAGGATTTCAGTAGTGTTTAGTACACGTGTTTTATGCATCAGTTTCTTAAACAAAAGCAAATCATAAACTCTGTGCCAAATCATACCATAGGAGTGATGGTCTTCTCAGTGATGTCCTGTTCGGTGGAGGCGTTATTCTTAGCGTCTTTGCCACCCTTTCCGATGCGATAGATCTTCTTATTGATTTCGGTCCTGTGGTGGTAACCCTTCTGTCCGGCGCGCGCGACAGTAAACTGCACACGACTCGGATGCCAGGCGCCAATACAGGCCACTTTGCGCAGACCTTTGTGCGTCTTTCGCGGCAATTTCTTTGTGTGCCAACGACTGGTCACTCCTTTATAACCCTTTCCTTTGGTCA